AAATTATATACTCCTTCAAAACAAAGTTTATTCCTTGTTTTCAAAATATTACAAAAAAAATTCGTAGTAAGTTACAATATACAAACTGCTCAACCGATACCTGGAATCCAAGCTGCTCCCATTTGTTGTTTCAGAGTTTTTCTGTTTATTAATTTAATTATTAAAAAGTATTAAGGTTATTAGTTATTATCTGCAAATAATATTTAGAGCTATTTTATGGTATATGCCTAGTTAAAATCTGGTTTTTAAACAGCTATTAAATTTTTCTTCCAAATCAAAGTGCAAGTCATTCAGAGATGGAGAATACCAACATGACAAGATCCTATACCACTTACACAAGCACTGCTGGTCAAGAACTTGGACTGCTACCCTTCTGAGCTGTTTCTCTGCCGCTTTTACCACACAGCTATGAACACCGACCAAGCTTTCATGTTTTCCTGTTTGCATGCTACTTTGATACAAAAGTAGTAAAAACTATTTTGGCTGTAACAATGTTTACTGAATATCACTTCTTTTGAAGGTGAAAGTAAGAGTCAATATTCAGTGAGGGAAAAAGGTATTCCTTTAAATTCTACGGGAAAAACTACTAGTTTAACTCCACAAATACCCTGGGAACATAACATACAAAATTCTGTGTATTAAAAGCAGTGTGATTCTTTCAGCCGGGGTAATACTGTGACTCCACTTTTCATCAAGTTTTTACAAGAAAGTTTCTAGACTCTAGGGCATTGTGATATGACGTCAAAGGTAGAACGTGATGATCTTGAAGGTCTTTCCCAACCTTAATGATTTTGTGTAGTGATATTTTTCTTCGGTCACAAAACCTACAGCAGACAGCAAACACAAACTTTTACTAAGAGACGAACATGGGGAAATGAGGGCAACCTCCCCCCCTTGATGGAGGTCACTGGTTTCCCTCAGCACTGCCCAGCCATGTACAAACCCAAATGAAAGGCGTAAGGACTATACTTCAAAAATCATCTACTAACACTTAAAAGAGATTGAAATTGAATGTGACATTAGCAAGACCAAACAGTTCTGTTAAAACCTTGTCAGTCACTTGTAATTGTTGATTTCTTCCATACTAGGTATTGGCTCTGCTCTGACAATTTACCTTGAAAGTTCCCAGAAAATTTTAAGCAACTGAAATGAGAACTTCAAAAAAACCCAAACAAGTAAGGTCTACAATACTGTCTATCCCAAACATTCAAAATACATGAATAACCTCAAACCCTATTTGTGTTTTATACAACTTGGCATGCCCTGAGTTTTCACCCCTCTTAATCCATTGTGTACTTTTACTGGCACCACCACGGCCAGAAAGCTTTGGCGTCTTGCAGCCCACACATTCATTGTAGAGGTTCTCTCCTTCCACGCTTAGAGCTTCATTCCCTCCCGGTAAGTTATGTACATCTCACCTCTCTTCCGTTGGGAGTTCAGACTGTTCTACTGGGCAGGGAATAATTTCCACAGGGTCTCTTCCCTTCCCTTTTTGCATGGCAGCTTTGTAGCACATTTTTCTTTCGAGAAAACTATCCCACTTAGTGGGAGGAGTTAAAACATACTTGTTATCAGCAGGTGCGTTTGAAACTGATCACCGCTAAAATCCTTTCTCAGCCAAGGCTGGAAGCAGTTCAGTCTTTCCAAGCAGGAGCTGCGGCCAGAGGAGAGGCGCCCTCGGGCCACCCGTTTCTCCAGTAAGGGGAGCGGCCCCGTTGTCCCCCGAGGGGAGCGGGCCTCCAGCGCAACTCGCGTTCCCGGCAAGGCCTGCGGGATGAGGACAGGTGCCCTCCGTGAGAAGCTGAACGGCAAGCAGGAGCTGATGTGTGCCAGTTGGAATACCCCAAGGGCAGGATAGGAGAGGGAGTGATACTACACTTGGCAGATAGTGGTGGCTAGAGGAGATGGTATTTTAATTTTTGGCTTTCTTACCATCCACATCCATTTTAACTGGCAACTAGATAAGTTTTCTCCAAGTCTGTTTTGCCCACGACAGTAATTGTTAAGTGATCTCTCTGTCTTTATCTTGACCTGTGAGCTTTTTCACGTCATTTTCTCCCCATCCTGCTATAGTGGAGGAGGGAAAAGTGACTGGGTTATCATGTGGCTGCAATCCACCGTCAGCTCACAGTGGTATTTTCTTTGCTGCCAGACTTCTAATCTTAGTTTTCTTTGATGTTTTTCACCTCCAGCATCTTCTATTAATTTCTCTCCAGTCATAGCTAAGGCCAAAAAGCAGTTTTTACTAAAGCTCCTTTATATATCTGTGTATATAAATTTAGCAAATTTCAGCATTACCGAATACAATCTTGCTTATTAAATAAGTCCAGGGTATAAACTGTAGTTCAACATTTCATTGAAATTGTTGTAAAAATCGCAATGACATTTATCACAATCTTAATGTAGCTTTCCTCAACCTTAGTGTCCGTGGTGGAGCTGTACAGCAAGGATGATTGCTCTCTGCCAAAGCTCAGAGTCAAACTGCTGCAAAGCTTTCTCTTGGTGGCAGAAACAAGGAAGAGGAGGAGACAAACCCTCTTGCCTTCTAAACCTTTCCTCAACTTGCTCATCAGGAAACACTAAGGGGGGAAAGCAACCATTCATATTTGGCTTTAGCATTTTCCATTTTTCCTTTCATTTGGTCGCACTTCTACAGTAAATTTTATGAAGTTAAAAGAAAAATCTGTTTCTAAAGGTAAGCACATACCTATAGTTTGAGAATTTGAAAATTCTTCATGTATTTAACATTACAGTAGTGAACATCCAAGACATTTTGGAAACATTTTCCTTTATTTATGCATTGCAAACACATCTGCACATCACATGCTTTACTAATTCCTGTTCTGTAAATGTAAGTCTGTAATTCATAGGTCTAGTACACTTCTCATACCCTTACCCCAAAGAGACAGTTCTAAAAAAAACTACAAACAACCTTCAAAAAAAAAATCCAACAAAAACGAAAATCGGCATACTGCCTGTGTAACTATTCAGTCAACAGCACCTCTTGTTTACGTGATTGTTGCATTCAATTCAATTGCTATTTCTTCCATACATTTTCTTTCAGGCGCTACTGCCTCTTTTAGTTTTACTACTCCTTAAATTAGCTTCTGTAAAAATTATTAGACTCAAGGGAAACCTACTTGAAGTATTAAGAACATTTCGATAAGAGTAGGTTAAGAAATAGTTGTGACAGGCGGTGAATATCTGATAACCTGTGACAAGACAAGCACTGAAAGGTGTTAAACTCTTAAACCACCTCAGCTGCATGCAGACCTGTTTCGTGCCTACCGTTGTGTATCTGGAGGCACAGCGCGCCTCACTTACAGCCAGCTTTACGGTAAGAGCCCTAATCAATGACATTGACTTTACAAAATTAAATAAAAACTCGCCAGTCTGGCGGTGGCGTTTGGGAGCGCCTGCTCAACTATGAGTCCACCTTTGACTGCATCTTCAGCGGGAACCAAGTTACAACTGGAACTTCAATATCACCGGCGCACTGGACAGCCGCCGCCAACCCACTACCTCGGGCTTCCGGCTCCTGAAGAGCCTCCCGAGCAGAGAGGGACAAAGGCGGTGAACGTACCTTCCCCGCGCTGCTCCAGAGGCCAGGTTGCTCCTGGCACTTCCCCAGCCCGGCCGGAGCGGTGCGGGGCTCGGGAGGCCCAGGTAGCCCCTCCCCGCCGCCGGCCCCGCCCCGCGGGGGATGGAGGGGCCGCGGCCGGGCGGGCGCTGCAAGAGGAAGCGGGGACGCGCTCCTGGGCGGCGGCGGTGGGGTCACGAACTCTGACCTGTCACAGAGCACGGCACGGCACACACAACAAAACACCCCCGACCCCAACACAGCCCCGGCCCCCTCCCCTCCGCGGGCCCCACAGCCCCTTGCCGCCCCAGCGGGGGGAGGGAGGGCCGCTGCTGGGCACCGGCCTGCCCGGGCCCAGTCGGGTCACCACCACTGCACCTTTGGCGCCCATTCCTGAGGTAAAAAAACATTTTTTAAAATTGAAGCGGCCCGGTGGGTTTGTTTCGTGGGGGCCAGGGCGAGGGAGGGGGCGCGAGGAGGCGGCAGCGGGCCCTACTCTGGACACCCCCGCGAGGGGAGGGGTGGGGTGACGGTGGGCTTAGGGGAGGGGGATTGCACGGCTCCGGTATTTGGCTGGTAAGCGAGCACCGGCCGTGGTCTGGCCTGGTCTGCTGCTCCTGGAGAGAGAGAGAGAGAGAGAGAGAGAGAGAGAGAGAAAACGACCATTGTGGCGTGCTGGGTCGATCGACGGGGCAGTCCCGTGCCGGAACCGCTGGCTGCAGCGTGGGCCGGCTGAGGTCGGAGCTGGTCCGGTCTCGGTGAGCAAAGTCTGCTGTCCAAGGGGCGTAGGGCGATGGTCGCGGGGATGACAAGCGCGGGACACACACTCAGAGACAGAAGATGGAGTCTGAGCGGGCGGAGGCGGCGGCTTGAACCCGACCCTTTTACCTTTGCCACCGGGAGGGCGGAGGGGAGGGGGCGGCGGGTACTTTGCATACTGGGCTGAGACCGCCGCCATCTTACCGGCCGCTTCCTCACTGCCATGCCTGGGCCTTCTCTAGGCGGACACAAGGCTATACCGGAGGGGAGGAGAAGGGGCCTAATGGCGGCGGCAGCAGCCCCGCCTGGGCTCTGGCGGGCGGCCAGCGCCGCCATCTTGTGCTCAGTGAATCCCCGGGGGGCTCTACCTCCGCTCAAGAGGTGGCCCCACCACCATTACAAGCGAGCGGCTCGGCCAATGGGCGCACTGCGGGGGAGCGCTGCGCCTGTTGTGAGGTCATTCGTCGAGTCTGGGGGCGTGGCTCGGCGGGGCGGGAGCTGCCTAAGGCCATTCAGCAGCGGACGGGGCGCGGTGCAGCTAATGGGGGCTCGGCTCGGCTCGGCTCGGCTCGGCTCGGCTCCTGTCGGATCGTGCCGCCGGGACGGCGCAGCGGAGGGTGCCGGCAGGGCCGGGGCCGCTCCCCGCCCGTCTCGGCTGTGGCCGCCTGCTGGAGCCGCTCGGTGCAGCCGAGTCGAGCTCACAGCGTAAAGAGCCTCGTTTGGTTAAGACAAAGGAGCACATATCAATAAGTTTGAATTCGGCTTTTTGCCATGTCTTGTCAGTAGGGCCAAAACCCTTAGAATCTCTCAAGTGGACTTTATGACCTACTTTTGACATTTCACTGCAACTTAGGGAAAGATTAATGATTTCACGCTGTGTTTTGGACAGCGTATATTGAGCTGGCTGCCACCCTATTACACTGAAAATAATTTCCTGGTTCTCCAGGTGCCTCTTCCTAGTTTTTTAAGTTTCACCTCTTGTGTTGGTTTGTTTAGGGGCTTTTGTCGTGGATGCCTTACAAACTGTTGCTCGGGGCTTTTGCTAGGAAGCTGATTTTGCCTTCTGGGAGTTGACACCATTAAGAAGCTTGGCATGGCTGTGTATGGTCTCTGTTTCAGCTGGATTTGATCAGATAGTCTCAGCTTAAGGTTCTTTTGTGAAGGTCGAAAGGACAAAAAGCGTTGATAATACCAACAACAGCAAATCTGTCAGAGTCGTTCTACAGCAAAACACTTGTTTTTTGTGTCTGGGAAAGGTACTGTTATGAACAATGTAACTCATCTGCAGGGCTTCTGTCATCATGAAGTGCTGAGAAAACAGCATGTTATGAGCATATGGTTATGCTTCCTGTGCTTCTTGCTGAATAGGAAAAAAAAAAAAAAGTAAGAGGAAACACTGAAAAGGAACAAACTGAGAAACCATCCATAAGCTGGAATTGGTAGAAATGGTTCATAGTCTTAATCAAGTGCAAGACTTCAATAAAATAATGGCAAGCTGTAGGAGAAACTAGCATAAATACAATTTCTATGGAGATGTCTCAACTTTGATTATGCATTGTTGCAACTAATCATTACTTGACATATACGGAATTACTTTCATATTTGCCACAATATAAGTGAATCCTTGTAACTTAATGAATTTTGACATATTTAACAATGTTAGCTTTGTAGAAGTTACATTTGAATGGGTGCTAGAGATATGCATACATTTTTCTGTTATGTGTGTTGCTATTAACTGTATTTTAAAATTTTATATTAAATGATTGCTTTTCAATTACAAGCAGAGTTTTCCAATGAAGCATCAAATGAGCAGCATTCAGGAATGCCTTTTTATTACCGACACCTTGATCAGAATATGAAGTCTAGCCCTGTAATTAGCAAGTCACAATTAAAAACTGAATTTGTTAATTGGAAATCTTAATTGAATTTACCTTGGAAGAAACACACCCCTAATAATGATAATTAAAAATACATTGGAAGTGGATTTTTTTCTTGTTTCTTTGTCTTTGATTTGTCTTTTTTTTCTTTTTTTTAAACCCCTAAAGTTGACGGTGGAGTTACTTGGAATAGGATAAAATGATTCTACAGTATTTTCTTCTCATCGTAGTAATAGTATCACATTATATTAAAGAAATAGTTTAAATAATGGAAGATTCATTTTAGATGTAACTGTTTATTTCCCTTATTGTGTAAGATTACTCTTAAGAATATGGATTAACATGGCAGTTTGACTGAATGACTCGATAAAGTTTTATGCCAACCAGCGTTCTTAGCTTGCTGCTCCCTGGCTCAGGATGTGGTGTAGAGGCAGTTGAACTGCAAGGTTGTTCCTGCCTGAGCTGAGGAAGGCGCTTTGAGATCTGTGACCTCCACACACCACATCAGTACTTGACTTTGAAATTATCCCTTTCTCACTTAGCAAATTAACATCTCTTCTTTACAGCTTAAATAACAGAATGAAAATAGTCCATCAGAGGCTTAATAAAGTAAAAGGATAACTGTAGCTGAGCAGTTTGAACAGCAGGTCCCATCTAGGTGTGTGTGTGTGTATGTACACGTGCACACACGTCAATGGTGTATTTTCTTATTTGCCAGATATATCAAGCAGAATTGTAAATTTTTAAGAAGTCATAGCAGAGCTTTCTTTAATACTAAGAAAAAACCCAAACTTTTGTGCCTGATGGAAGTTGCTGGCATCTTTCCAAACAGGTTCTCTAATGGTCTTGTTTCACCATGGCAACCAATATGGAGGTGCTGGCTCAGCAGGTAGTGGAGACTCAGCAGGTGGCTGAGGTGAGTGACAGATGACATCACAACAGTTGGTAATATGAGATTTTGAAATTAAAAACATATTAGGGTGTCCCTGCTGTTTACAATTAAGCATAAACAGAACAGAAGTTCTTTCTAGAAAAGTGTTGCTTTACGCTTCAGGACAAGCATGAAACCAGTGCAAGTCAGACATGTTTTGTTCACCCTACTTTTTTCTGGTGGCCCCCATGTTAAGAATGCAAATAGGAAGTTCAACAAGAGCTATAGAGAAACTTTGCCACATTACAGATTGTTTTAAAAATGAATGCAACAAAATTTCTTGTAGTTGGATCATTAGATTGACCATTTGGGACATGGAAAGCTTCTGTACCTAATTTGAATTGTAATCTAGATCCACCACAGTATTTGAAGTTGCCTGTTTTACTCATGTGCTATACTGAATTTCCAGAAAGGTGGTTAATTTAGATCAGTTTTTATATTTTGTGCCTACACTTAAAAGAAAAAAAAGCACAAAACCTAATTAAAATGATATTAAGTGATGTCTTGATGCATATTTACTGAAGCTTGGATGCTTAACAGCTGAAAAGTTTAAATCAACTCATAAACACAAACTGCAAATGTTGATGGCCACAGTAAATAATTTGTCTCCCTCACGATGCAAACTTCAGTCAAAAAATAAACTAGATCTTTTGTCTGATTAAAATTATTTGGTTTAATATCCTTCAAGTTTACTGTGATTTTTTTGTATGGTTACATAATTAAGGGATTTAATAAATCAAGGGCAAATGAGATGAGAGACCTGTGTAGATAAGACCATTTTTCAGATATTAGTTTGGAGTTTTCTTTCATGAATTGAGCTAAGATTGCACCTCTATATTAAAAAATATTTTTAGTTCAAGAAGAAGCCCTACCTAAGAAGACAATATAAGTTTAATTCTGTTTTTAGAAGTGGATTTAAGATTCCCTATTTAGAAGTACATTTTTAAAAAAGAAACTTCATTCTTTTTAGCATGGAAAATGGCCTGTAAGTAACATCTACAGAATAGTTTCAAAAAACTTCCTGAGTTTAACAGTGAAAGCCAACAAGAGATTTTTCACTCTAGTTTTCTGTATCAAGTATTAATTTGACAAGTTGCATTTTTAAAAAACGCTTCCAAATATACTTGGAAAGGGAAACCTGTAATGGAAATATTGACAAATTTGATACTATTTTGGTAGAAGTTGGGTGCTGTAATAACATCTAAAGCACATAAAATATGTGACATTTGTAATTCCTCGTGCAGGAAATGCACCGTGGTTACATAGTGTGATGATTGTATCTTGCCACTGGAGAGATCGCTCCATCTCAAGAGTGTGTGAAGCTCTGTGATTTCTTCCTGGCCGGTGGGTAAACAGAGGCCTTCATCTCTTTGTAGTATTCACTGCTGCTTAAATGGTATGCCTGTCCACTACGGAACACCATGAAAACTTTGTTCATGGAAAAACAGTTGCAAGCAGCGTTATCTTGTTAGGAATCCGTTAACACTAGGAGGATGTTAATACAGAATCGTTTCTTTATGAATGGCTGGCTGCCTGCTATTTGTGTCTTCTGTCAGATAGTTGTTCATGCAGGTAAATACATAACTAGTTATAGCTGAAATTCTGTATTTGTACTCACCATATCTTAGAGAAAATACAGAATCAAACTTGGCACTGGCTTTTTAAAATGAGAGATTTCGGAATATTGTATTTTTTATCAATGAAAATTAAACGAAAGAAGAGGGTCACTGACCATGCACAAAATTTCAGGTTACGAACTGTAAGAGACAAGTTGCAACCAGATAACCTAATGCAAATATCAGCATCTTTACCTATATTGGCATCACTTTTCCAACAAAATTACCACATATGTGTTGTGTGGGTTATGGAGAACTGTGATGCCAAGCACCAAATCAGACTGTCATGCAAGTAGGCTACATGTTGTTTCTCTTTCTTAAGCAATAGTTCACCAGCTTTGTTTTTCATGAAAATGAATTATTCACGGAAGTTGCTGAGTGTGCTTCTGTGTTGCATGTATTTTTGTACTTATTCTATTTTTAGGACTTTTAAAAATTGTTCTTGTAATAGTTTCAAAGGGCTTCAATGCTTTTGCTTGCTTCTGCTTCATATAGCGTCGCTTGTTTAATTTATTTTTTTCCAATTGTGCATTTCTGAACAGATTGGATTAGAGTTCCATTTTTAGTGTTTGAAAGTTGCCATTACTTGTAGTTCATGAAACTGAAGAACAGAGAGCAGCTAGGGGATTCAGAGGGAATTTCAGCGGTTTCTCCTCATCCTGAGCAGCTTTTGAAAAGCAGGAAAAATACTTAACCCTTACTGCAAAAATAAGTAATGCTGCTTTTCTCAAGTATTTATTTAGTACTGTCACTGTGCAATATGTAAGTGGCCTAGGTGCAGTCCCAGCACCAACTTAGATCTGACTTGAATAATGTTTAAGAAAAATGTGTTTGTTTTAAAGTGGAGGTGCATTCCCTGTGTAGTACCTGTGATTTTAATGCAAAACTTTAAAAATTTTTAAACAGAGCTGTCTTGGGTGGTGGGGAGGAGGGGAGAATGTGTGGTGGTGGAAATAAGGGCTATTTCATCTTTCTGACAGCAACTCTGGTGTGACCAGTAATAAGTTTTAGTAGTTGCTAAAAGTGTCCTTGGCCAGCTCTCTGACAGCCACAAACTATTCCTGGTGCATCCTTTTTCCTCTCAGAGGCTACAGGGCGAGAGTCACATGAGGTGACTGAGCCCTGTGCTTCCTGGATCTTGTTTATGACAGCTGCATTGCTGGAGAATTTTCAGTTGCTTTCAGTTCCCTCAGTGTCCTGATAGGAAACTTTGAAAGTCTCGAGCCTTTTTAAAAGCGTGTTTTGCCATGGAGCTCAAAAAATACGGAGTATCTTTGTCACATAAAATATTTTCTTGACCCTCTTCAGACATCTCTTGACATGTTACATCATAAGTAGTTCTGCAATTCAGATTTTAGTCCAGGTGAAGACAGTCTGCTGGAAAAGGAGAGTGGTAACACTGTCGTTCTGATGGAATAAGTTTTTACTTTGTTTTAAGAATTAATGAGGTGTGATGTAAGACCCTGTATACTTAATATTTTATTGCTATCATTGGCCACTTGCTCATTTTGATGATTTTTCGTAATGGTGTTTTGATGCAAAGTCTTCTCAAACAATTTTTGGCTTTTCTCAAGTTCCTGTTAACGATAGAAGACCTAGACATACCACGAGCCTGAGAGGTCTCTCACAGAAGTGCACGTGGGAGCAAGGAGGCCGTGCCTGGTTTCGGCAGTTTGGCAGCGTTTGAGCTGAAGGCTGTTAGCAGAGTGCCACAGCTGCTGGTGCCGTCACCGTGTGGGGCGTTACCCAAGAGCTGCTGGAGATGTGACAGTTCCTTTTTATGTGCTATACAAAATCTTGCACTGGCATCCTATTAGGGCAGTTAAACTTGAGTTCTTCTAATGGTGAATTCAACTTCTGTCTGCCATCCTACAAAGGACCCAAGTGGCCAGGACAGCTAATTTCAAAGAGGATAATTGACACTTTTTAAGATGTGTCTTACACCTGTGAAAGAAATCTATTTGGATATACATTTTTTGTAAAAGCCTATTATTGAGAAATATCTAAATATACTAATAGCTAAAAATACTCATTACAAAAAGTATCTATGGAAAAATAAATCTATTTGATTTGAGTTGCAGGTGTAAAACTTGGTACTATATTTTTCATTTAAATTCTTCAGTTGTTTTATGGGTGCAGTTAAACATATTTGGTCTGTGATTACTTAATTATGCTTTCATTAATATTATAGGAAAGAGAATAGAAATTATTGTCCCTGAAATTGGTTTGCATACAGGGTATTCAAGCAATACAATTACTTTGACTTTTACTGGAGTGAATATAGAAAATTATTTTTCTGCTTAAGTTAGAAAAGACTAGAGGCTTTAAAAATTCCTCCCTATGTGGCCAGTGGATTATTCCTTCAATTTATTGCTCAAATACTGCTTTTATAATCATTGTGGGGGGGAACAATCTACACAAAGTATTGAAAATTTGGTTAGTTGGTACAGATATTTATTGTACATGTACATATGCTCATACAAACACAGATGCATATATACATGATGGGCAAATCATTAAATTACTGTATAAACTTAAAGGAAGGGCTGTGGATGTGCCTACCTGTATTTCAGCAAAGCCTTTCACACTGTCTCCCTGCACTGTCCCGAGAGGCTGCAGCCCATGGCTTGCACAGGCTGGGTTAGGAACTGGCTGGGTGACTGGGGAGTGGTGCCACATCCACTATTCCATCACTAGTGGGGTTCCTCAGGACTCAGTTTTGGGCCCAGTTCTCTTTAATTTCTTTATAGATGACCTGGATGAGGGGATTGAGGCCAAGGCCAACAGTGTGAGGTTCAACAAGGCCTCAAATTGTGCCGTGGGGGGGTTCAGGTTGAGCATACCTTGCAAACTCAGAAAAAGACATGGCTGTTTCGTTCCAAAATGTTTAAAGAATTTCCATGCAGGTACCTTATAGCTATCTGTCTTTTCTCTTGAACAATGTGGAAGAACAGACTATTCTTTATTTCCAAGCTGCCTGCAGTACATTGTGGTGTAAGGTTTGATGATGCATCAATGAAAGGCTAAGGATTCTACAACTGAACAACTATAGAACAGTTTTAAAAGACCTTCTTGCTCTAATTTAGACCTTTTAAAGGGTGCATAGTTTTGTTAATAGTTTGGCATGGAGGACAAGAAGATCATCAATTAAATGTGTCCTCTAAGCGTCTAGATTTTTGGAAGTCTTTTTTCTCACCTAGATACCTTGTTTTCTGCAGCTGAAAGCTTTGAATCGTCCAATAATTTGAAGACACCTCTTATATCTACATGCCTCCTGTCTATTTTCCTCATTTAACATACAACTTTCGTGACTGTGATGCAACAACCTGTGTATTAAAGATAGTTGGAGATTGTACGTTCAATTTGGATTATACTTCTACAGTACGTGGGACTACTTATGGTACAGGCAATAGGGGAGTAGAATGGTATGGTTTCATTAAGTCTTGTGTATTTTAATACCTCTGCTTCCCCAAAGAGACTGTAGTCCCTGGTCCTTGCTATCCAAACTATTTTTTCTTTCTTTATGTCATAAATGAACTTTTCTGTATATTAAACAAAGATTTTTCAAAGCAAGCTAAAATTGAAACTGCCCTGTTATCCAGCTGTACAAATTTTAATGTAATTCCAAGATTATTTAAAAGAGGATTTGACAAAAATAACTTGTGACCATCCTGGTTTTGGACACTTTACTGCAGATAACAGGTTCATAGAATGATTTGGGTTGGATGAGATTCAGGATTGTCTAGTCCAGCTCCCTGCCATGGGCAGGGACACCTTTCACTATCCCAGGCTGCTCCCAGCCCCGATGTTCAGGTCTTGGACATTTCCAGGGATCCAGAGGCAACCACAGCTTCTCTGGGCACACCTGTGTCCTGGGCACCCTCAGAGGTAACAATTCCTTCCCAATATCCAATCTAAACTTTATCATGGATGTTTAATTCAACATTTAACATTTTTGCTCTGAAAACAACTTTGCAAGGGGTGTTTTTCAGGCTGAGTATTCAGAACTAAATTTGCATTATAGTTTGGTAGTCTAGAAAGGTATAGAATAGAATAAGAAACAAGAGTACTCAGAGTAGTGCCAGAGTTAATCTCTGTCATTCAAAAGTACTTAGAAATTATTAAAAGGGAAACTTCTTTACCTTATTTATATATGGTGTATTTTATTTTTACAGAAGCAAAAATGAGACAAGTGTATAATCTAAAGCTGAAAAAAGTATTTCTGCATTTCAGTAAGCTAAAGGATCATACAGTACTTACCCAGTGATTCATTTGAGCAGAGTGGTGGTGGTAGTGGTGGTTTGGTTTTGTCAGGTTCACTCCATTCCCAGATAAAGAAAATATTCTGATAATTCATTGAAAGCCAATCCAAGTTGGTTAAATGACTGTAACCTTTCCAGTAAATTTAGATTCTAAACTATAGGGCTATCTGATCTTTTATAAATATAGGTATTTTTAGAAGTGTTCAATACCTTAGCAGTGAATTAAAATTCTGTATGTTGTTTACAGGTGCCAACTGTTCAGACTTTGCTACCTGAATCTCCAGTGATGACCAGCCCTTCCCAGCGTATCCAGATAATTTCCACAGACTCCTCTGTAGCTTCACCACAACGCATTCAGGTAAAAATCCATTCATTAACCAACTATCACATCTTTTCTTTTTTTCTTCTCCTCCTACTTAGCATTACACAAAAGCATGCTAAAGACTATGGAATACTTCCTTTAAGTCTTGTGAGAACAGATAACTTTTAGAGAGAACTAAAATTCTTTATCCCTCAGTATTTATTTAGTGCTGACTAGATGGATTTATATAACAGTTAGCCAGTGAGGAGTATTTACACAGGTTAAACCTTGCCTACACAAGCAAATCTCCTGAGCCCTGGCCACAGCAGAGGGTGAGATATTGTCAACAGAAAACTGAGATCATCTCTAAGTGCATTTCTCTTCCCACTTCTTTAGGAGACAGTAGGAGATGAATCAATCTATTCAGCACAAAGTTGGCCTTTGGGAATGCTGCACAGTGGGTCTTTGTTACTGGTAGATAATAAAAATATGTCATGAATGTATCAGAGTGTATTCAGTGGGAAATTATATAGGACTTACTAAATTTTAAATACTAGTGCATATTGATATGGTTACTCTACCAGGCAAAATAGAGATCATGCTACCAGACAACTGTGTCAGAAACATAAGTCTTCCATCATAAGAGAATCTTGAGAATTGGCATGTAAAACAATAAGGCTGCCTGATTCCATCTTTTGTGGATAACTTTAGAGAGTAACATCTTATGTAAAATATGTAGGTAAAAAATGCATAGGGAAATGCTAACTGGAGAACATTTCCTTAGTGCCATTTATAAAGAAAAATTGGAGAAAGCTTCTTTGTAATTTTTCACTGATTTAATTCTGAGATGGAATGAAAGGTTTTAATACATAAAATTTACTGTGGTCATGAATATCTTCAATGTTTTACAGATTGTGACAGATCAGCAAACAGGTCAGAAAATTCAAATAGTGACAGCAGTGGATTCAGCTGTGTCTCCAAAGCAACAGTTCATTTTAGCTAGTCCAGATGGAACTGGTGCAGGAAAGGTGATCTTGGCAGCACCTGAGACATCTAATGCCAAGCAGCTTATCTTTACCACCACAGACAACATTGTGCCAGGCAGAATTCAGGTAAATACAATAATTTAGATAAACCATGGAATTTTGGGTTTATTTTTTTTTTATTTCTAAATTAAGGCTAAATTGCTTTAAGACCAACTGCAGTAGTTTTCTCATTATATGGATCAGACATACTAAGTTTAGACTTCATTGTTCAATCCTTCATAAATCCTTCAGCCTTCACCTACCTCATGTATTCCATGGCACTAATTATCCCTTGTCATGTGCTCTCATTCAAGTTCCAAAGATAGTGCCTGTGAGAAGTGCCAGGATTTCTCAGTCTGCTCAAGATTCACAAATATACAGAGATTCAACTAACCTGAGCAAATTTACATGTGTTCATACTTGACATTCAGTATCAAGACACTGCAATAAAGCACCGTTGGTTTTTTGTGGGTCTTGAGCCTAATCTACATGAATAGGAGCTTTGCAAAGCCAAGGATGTAAACAATAATCTACCTCTCATGAAATTTCAGATTTCTTCCTAGCAGTCTTAAAAAAAAAAAAACCAACCAAAAGAAAAGAAAAAGTGCCTGGTGCCTCTTGTTACTGCTACAATAAAGAATACTTTACAGGAAGAGTAATTTTTACGTAATTATTTTTAAAATGGTATTAACAGTCTTCTAAAGCTAATTTTTACATGCTGAATAGGATATCTGACATTACAGAGGGGTTGAGTTTTTAAATTTTTCTTGGTTAAATGTAGTGTTCAGAACAGAAGTTTTGGAATTGAAGGCCTTTGGAAGCTAAACTGTTTCTATGGTGGATCTGAGCTCCAGGCTATCCCCTTTGAAACAAACATCCCTAATAGCTAGAGAAGACATAGATGGGAACAGCATCTGAAAGTCATCTGTCATTGGCTAAAAGATAGCAGCTGCTTGAGAGTATTTGCAAGAAGGGAAAAATACTGTTGATTGCACAAATGAGGAAACATTTGTACTAAACAAAGCTAGCAGTTTTATTTGTAATTTGTTTTGATATGACTGTTTCAAAACCCTCACTCTTGTCAGTAAGAACTCCCATTAAATTGCATTTTATACTACTTAATTTAATTCCACATTCCATACTTATTCATAATCCTTATTCATAATCATACTTATTCATAAATCCTCCTCCTAGCTGATACACCTATTTTGTTCTATTGGCAAGCTTCATATCTGGCTAATTACATCTTTTTGTTCTGGAATTTTTCTTTAGATAGTGACAGACTCTGCTTCAGTGGAACGTCTGTTAGGAAAAACTGATGTTCAGCGGCCCCAGGTAGTAGAATATTGTGTAGTCTGTGGTGATAAAGCATCAGGTAAGGAAGCCTACAAAGTGGTATTGGAGAAACTTGCATGAAAGAATAACTGGGATGAAGAGATGATTTTTTCATGTGCTTTAACTGATTTTAGTTATGCTCATAGAAAAAGCAATTGAGTTTTTAAATGGAAAAATATAACATACTCTGTATCTATACACAAAAAATAGCTAAGCTCTGCTTGGAAGAATTTTTTTTTTTTCCCTTGAACTGAAGCATATGATAAATTGGCTGAAAGACAAGATAATGATTCAATCCCTTCTGGTAATTGAAAAAGACTACTTGAAGCATGTAACCATGAAATAAACATGTCACCTAAAAATGTCTAACTAGTCCAAAAAAAGGCTTCTTAGTGTTCTCTACCAAACTTAACACTTTCTAGTAGAGTTTGTTCTATCACAAAACAAGGCAAGCAGAGATCACGTGAATCCTCAGTGTTTCAGATTGATGCAGTAACCAGGAGTCTTAAGATTAAATTTTTATATTAGTCAAGGGGTGTTTTGTGCTTTCATCCTAGAGAGATACCAGAATTAATATGGACAGGAAATTTAAATGAGGATTGCATTTTAAATTTTGGTGTAAAATGACTTATTTTCTGAAATTACTTGAGCTCTTAGCTGGTATGTTCTCTATATCCTATCTGTATCCTATGGTCTGTAAGAGCAGACAGAATTGTATCTGTACTTAAGCAGATTGGGAACTACACCTTCATCAACTGCACATTCAGAAATAGGCTGAGCCTTCCTCTCTTCTCTCCACTCTCTCACCAAAACCCCTGACAATAAGTAAACCAGAAATATCTTGTGATACTGTCTTAATGCTTTCATGGTCCAAAATGTTGGTTACCAATACAAAACAAATTTAAAGAGTGACTTAGATTGTTTTACTTGCTTTAAATGAATATTTCTATGCTAAAATATAAGTAATTTCCAACTGATAACAACATATACGTTTCCTAGGTCGTCACTATGGTGCTGTCAGTTGTGAGGGATGCAAAGGCTTCTTTAAAAGGAGTGTAAGGAAGAATTTGACCTACAGTTGCCGTAGCAACCAGGACTGTATCATCAATAAACACCATCGGAATCGATGCCAGTTTTGTAGGCTTAAGAAATGTCTAGAGATGGGCATGAAAATGGAATGTGAGTGTTAAGTACTCAATGTGATATTGTGCCTACCAAATAGCAATTATGTGGACTACCACTTGTTAGTGTGTTCTTTCTGTTTTGGTATATGTTGCTTGAAGGAAACAGAACTTTTCAGCAGCATCTAGTGCACCTTTCTTTCATCACTATTTTATGTCTGAGGTGCAGTAGTGGTTTGTTTTGAACCATGTCTCCAAGTACTGTTGACTTTGGGGAGCCCAATTACAGCCTCACTTAGAATGCATGTTCCAAACACAGTGTATGTTTATAACAGAAAATATTTTGATATGGGTTGTCATGAATCTGATTCTAATATTCTGTTTTGAGAATCTGCTTTCCTTCCAGTATATTTTTGCAGCTCTTTCAACCAGTGTTAGATAGTGATAATCTTTCAACCAGTGATAGTCTTTTTCCCCCCCTCTTTTTAAATTTTTGTTAATTTGATAATTTGTGAGCAGTGTTTTGTGAGGCATTGAATAAACCGTTATATGTTTTAAAATATGCTTTCATGTTTGTATGCAGTACTGCATACATTTCCAGTGCTAGCAGCCAAGCACTTGTTTCAATATATTTTTGTTTTCAGTTTCTATCACCTGTTCTTCAATTTAGCACTAGGTGAAACAATTACAAGGTTATTTTGTGATCTGATCTAATCTAAGCAGGGTAAGTTCCAGCCACTGAGTTCAAGGGAGGCAGAACTTTGAGCTAAAGCTTTAAGCTAAACAGGGACATAACTGTTGTATTTGCACTCTGAAACTCCAGACCTGTTGTGATGATTCTGGTGCTTTGCACACAATGTGTTGAATATAAGACGAGACGTTTGTACAAGAAAAAACTGCCACAGTTCCAGAAAGCAGACCTTTCTTATCCCAATATTATTAGGGTATATGTTTACTGACTTCAGTGGCTTTGGGTCAGGCTTCTGATTAATTAATATGTATTCACCAAGTCAATAAATTTGATATGCCAACTTTTAAGCCCCTAAATTTTGCTAATAGTAACAGTATTAGCAAAAATAAAATCAGGAACAAAGTAACTCTTGCTGGTTGAAAGGATAACTTCCTGTAATGTGTTAAATAATAGTGTTTTAATAATATAAAAATGCACTTTTCACCTGCTTTAAAAGTTACAAAGTAACTGCTTCTTACTATTTTTTATTTTAAAATTTGCTACACTTTTTCAGCACTTCAGAGACTGACTTTAGTTTGTTTCAATTCTCAAGTATAAATATAGATTATGAAAGGGCTAGTTTTAGAATACTCTTCCCTAACTGTCTGGAATTAATGGCTGTGAATGAAGTGTATGTCATGCAGAGAGTATCCCCCTCGAGGAATTAACCTGCATTTCTCAGGTAACTTGCCTCTTCTGACTTTTTCAGGGTTCCTTCTGGGTTTGCATTGTTTTGTGTCATCCAGATTAGGAGTGTGCCTAACATTTAGATACAGCTGTGCAGCAGTAAAAAAAAATAAACAAATTGAAAACATAATCTGTAGAATCTTCCATCTTATCAAATGCCAAAAAAAGAGCAATATTTTATTCCAGATCAGGTAAAACTTGAAGCAAAGGATCAATCTGTCACTTTCTTAGTTAAAAGTATATATAAAAATACACATACTCGCAGATATAGTAACATCAGAGCTTGTGTTTCTTCGCTCTTGGTATTGAATTTCCAGTTTTGCACTGAGCTGGTACACTATCATAACTGCAGGAATTTTACTTACTTTCTGTATTTTTCATTTGAATTATTTCCTTTCAAATCTGTCTTTATGTAGCGGTTCAAAGTGAAAGAAAGCCTTTTGATGTGCAACGTGAAAAACCAACCAACTGTGCAGCTTCTACTGAAAAAATCTATATAAGGAAAGATCTTCGAAGCCCTCTAATAGCAACTCCAACGTTTGTGGCAGATAAAGATGGGACACGGTGAGTACCTCAGTTCCATGCCTCTTCTTTCACATTACTTGTGCATATTACTTTGCAGTCATGCATCTATTCTTTTTCCCTCTGCTCTCAGAGGGCACAGAAAAGAAGTCTAATGCACACATCATCTGTTTCCATTACCAAGGCCAATGTAGGTTCTGCTTCTCCTGAAAGTTTTTATGTCTGTGTACAGGTATGTGATTTTTCAGTTCAGAGCTAGCTCTTGTCCAGCCAGGTCAGAGCAATGCAGGGCAAGTGGATGATATTCAAGCAGAAAGCATGTAGGCTAATGCTGCAATGCATTCAGGTTAGCACTTCTCTGAAATCAGATCTGCAAATGGCAGGGCAGACTCGGGCTTCCTTCTCCTTGAGACAGTAGTTAGGGAGACTCAGTGACTGCTGATTCAGATCCCAAGAGACTGGTTTCAATGATAGCAAAACAGCAGCTTCCTTTTACTATATGGAAGAAACTCCAGGATGGTTCCTGCACTCTCAGAAAGCTCCTTAGGCAGTGGGTGTGAAAATGCACATCATAACAAACAAAGGCAAGATTTCTTTTTTTCTGAATTGAATAAAAAAGTCTTGGTTAAATACAGCATTTTTAAAACTGTAGTTTATGAATGGTTGAGAACCACGTAAAAAACTGGGTTTTATTATTCAATTTTCATACAGGGGGAAGTGTGTGTGTTTAATTTTTTATATATGTATTCTTTTTTGAACAAATGACACTGCAGTTAGGAAGTTTGTGCTGCAGGTTTCTTGGAGAATTGTTTTTCAGAGTTCTTGTTTGAAACAAGTACTCACAGACACATTTGCTTCTTAGAAATTTCCTTGAGCTACAGAGCCCTTACAGACCTATAAACAATACTATAGTTATTAAGAACCACTCTGTTATTTATGTAGGATTCAGATTTCCATGATGCGTGACAATTTGCTGCGTGTGTGCTCACAGTGATAGCTGTTAGTGTCAGAGCCCTTGTACTGTAACATCCTGCACGTGTGTAATGTGTGTCAGCATCGTGTTATGGACACTTGGAGCATCACATAAGTAGCAAATAAACGTCTTACTGACTGCAAAAACTTTCCATTTTCTCCCTAAATTAGACACAGCAGAGGAGAAGGATATTTGGTGAAAAAGCAGCCGAAGTAAAGGCAGCAGAGATTTTATGCAGGCTTTGATTACGTGACTGTTTCTAACCATATTCTGGAATGTAAAAAATATTCTTATGACTTTCATTCAGTGCTGGCTGTTGTCTTGCTTGGAATACAGAGTTATGCCTTCCTCCAAAGTCTAATATAAAACTAGAGCTACAAGGTGACTTCTGAGACCATGAGAAGACAACAACTCTCCTTAAAGCAGAGCAAAAAGCAAATGAGAAGATACACATTTGGGAAGTTATCATTGTTTTGCACTGGAAATGAAAAGATATTTCAGTCTTTATGTCTTTCAAGCTACTTTTTGGGAACTATTTCAGAAAGACCTAAGTCCTGATAAATAAACTGTAAGCTTCACTAAATGGTTTATTTAAAAATTGGTAATTCCTTTTATGCTGTCACAAATTGTTACACATTCTTCTGATTCATGGAAAATACTGTTGACCATCAGATGCTTTATGCTTTTGAACAGGTCGGCCGGTCTTCTTGATCCGGGAATGCTCGTGAATATTCAGCAGCCTTTGATCAGGGATGATGGTACAGTCCTCTTAGCTGCTGATTCCAAGGTATTACTGGCTCACTTCAGTTCTGATCATATCTATTCATTTGTTCAGATTACTTTATCTATTGTATATAATCTCAAACAGTTGTTGCTCTTGAGAAGATAAGGTGGAAGTTTGAAGAACTGTATGAATGGATGTAATAAATTGATCAGTAGGATTGTGGTTTCTTTTGGCAGACATTTCTGCAAAAGGTCAGCCACAGGTAGTTCTCCATATGATGTCTCATCTGGGACTAAGATTGATAATTAGAATAGGATTTAAAGATAATTGGGAGCCATTGTTCTTCCTGGCATTTGGGAGGAAGGAAAAGGTGTGTAGGGGAAAAGGAACAAAAAGAATAAAAATGGGGGGAATTATATGTGATGTATTAATTATAATTTTGATTTACTAATACAGTGTTTCCTTTTCAGGCTGAAACAAGCCAAGGTGCCTTAGGAACACTAGCAAATGTTGTAACATCTCTTGCTAATCTCAGTGAGTCACTAAATAATGGAGATACTTCTGAAGTTCAACAAGAAGAGCAATCTGCAAGTGAGATTACACGGTATGCGTTTATATTTACACCTTACTTAGTAATTTGTGTTCTATGTGGTGTATCCTTATATTCATTCATTAAAGGAATTTGGCATTGTTACACCAGAGAGGGTACAGATTGCTCCTCCTTTGAAACATAAAATTGGTTCTTTAGAAATCAGTTTTGGCTCTTGACCTCTTGTGAAGAACTGTGTCCTGTGTGACAAATGTAGTGGTCTGAAGCTAGACCAGATTTGGTTCTCAGAAAAATAATAAATGACTAGTTTGTGACCTTGAAAAACTCTGAGAATAGCAACACTTCAATGCCATTTTATTTCACAGGAGTGTTTTATATAAGCTTCCCCTATGCAATGCTTGTGACCTTAGCTCTGCTCTTTAGGGGTCTACATTACTGCAGATTTATTTTTGAGATTGTGCTGCCATAAAATCTCCTGGTAATGTAGATTTATCAAGAGCTTGAAGTCTTTCTTTTCTTCATTAATGAAAAATAAATGAAAAAGGAGCATGGAATATTAAAATTTCCAGCGCAGCTTGAGATTTGCAAGGCTGGGAATTTTTTTTGTTGGATGTTTTTGTGAGGAGGAGACAGGTTTGTTGAATTTAGCAGTATAGGTTAATAAGATAAAATATGTGAACTCGGTACTGTCCACTGTTTCTCAAAATTATTTTTAGGAGGAGCTTAACTGTCGTGGTTTAGGAATGGTATTCTCCAATGTAATGTTTACATTTAAACAATGCTGCCACTTGCTCCCCCTCTAGTCAGATGCACAAAAGGCAGAGACCATGGGTTGAAATAGGAACAATTTACTGGAGACAGTAATGCGACTAGAAAACAAACAGTAACAGCAAAATGAAACAGTAATAGCAACAATATTAATAACAAAATGTGTAAGAAAATAGACTACACAGAAAAGCAGCTGACAATAAACAAATACCAGCCCAGTCTGCCCACTACTCCGAGTGGATGACCCCCCTCCTCTGGGGGGCGAGAGAGAGAGAAGGACATTACTTAAGGCTCTTAAGTCTCTCATTTGAACTCTTCAAGTGAAGTGAATTAATATTGTAAAATACGTGACACTGTAATGTCAGCTTATGTCAAGTGCTTGCTTTCTTTAAAGCAGAAAAAAATTTATAAAAATCTGTCTCCCAAAAAACATCTTGACAAAAAAGTGGCAAAGGAGTACTATACCATAATACTGTCCACTGGTATGAAATTGGGGCACCAAATTCTTCTTTACATGCAAGGTCCATTAATACTAAGAGAATTTACAGTGATTTATGTGTGTAATGATCCAGCAACAGCTTGAGTATAAAGGAGACCTGGGACCAGTCTCTCTTGTGTTACTGTCATAAGGCTTTGAAGGCTCTGTCTGTACTGGGAGATTAGGAGTGCCTGGCCATATTTCATCTTAAGGGAAAGGAAATTCAAGCATATTGTCTAGAAGAAAACTACACTGTTGTCCACTGCTCCAAAAAGCTGGAGATCAAAGATGGGGACAAGGACAAGGACTTTATTCTTCAGAGTCCATCTGGTCTGTAACCCCCACTGAATCTGTGAGAAGGGAGAATAGTGAATGGTGAGTGCAAGAGGAGTGTTGTGGTTTAAGCCCAGTGGACAACTTAAGCCTCACAAAGTCCCTCCCCCACCAGTGGGACTGGTGGTAGAATCAGAAGGGTAAAAGTGAGAAAACTTGTGGGTTTGAGATAAAGACAGTTTAATAGGTGAAGCAAAAGCCACACACTCAAGCAAAGTAAAGGAATTAATTCAGTACCTTCCATGGGCAGTCAGGTGTTCAGGCACCTCCAGGACAGCAGGGCTCCAGCACGTGTAACAGTTACTTCTGAAGACAAACACCATCACTCCAAACATCCCCTCACTTCCTCTTTATTTCCCCTTCTTTGTATACTGAGTGTGACATCACAAAGTATGGAATAACCCTTGCATAAATTGTGCTCAGCTGTTCTGGCTGTGTCACCTCCAAGCTTCTTGTGCACTCCTCGCTTCCTCACTGCAGGGAGGACAAGAAGCCTTTCCATTGTGCCAGCACTGCTGTGCATAACAAAAACATCTCTATATTATCAACACTGTTAAGCCTTTCCATTGTGCCAGCACTGCTGTGCATAACAAAACCATCTCTGTATTATCAACACTGTTTTCAGTGCAAATCCAAAACACAGCCTCATACTAAAAACACAGCGAAGAAAATGAACTGTATCCCAGCCACAACTAGCACAGCACAAGGCCCCTCTACTAGTACAAATACTAAGATAAAACTATCAGAGCAGGATTTACAGTACGAAGTCCTTCCCTTACAGGGGAGATCTTTTACCAGCAATACATGGGCACATCTATTGGTTTTATTAATGCCCAAAGGGTACAGAGGGACCAAGTTGTAATGAAAAGTCTGACCTTGTGCCAGCCTAAAGAGTTACTGGGTATGTTGCCTCTAAGTGGAAATGTTTTATAGCAGTTAATTCGAGCATTATGAATTTTTTAAGATCTAAGGAACTCTTTCATTGTTTACTTATTTATTATTTTTTAGGGCATTTGATACTTTGGCTAAAGCACTTAGTTCCACAGATGGTACAACAGCTCATAACTTGGCAGATGGCATGGATCCTACAGGAGGAGGGAATATTCATGTAATCAGTAGAGATCAGTCAACACCAATTATTGAAGTGGAAGGACCCCTACTTACAGATACACATGTCACATTTAAAGTATGTGCTTCTTTAAATGTCTTACTAAACAAACTAATGCTTAAGATGTATGAGCTCCTACATAATTTCTTGTCTCGTATTCCCAATTTGCATTCCTTGCCAGTAGTAATGAGTTATTTAGTACAGTTTTCCTTTGACAACTTTTGTCACACTGTTGATTGTGATGGACTATGAGAGTAGTTTGAATGTTTTTGCCAGTTATTTCACCAATGATAAAAACTGGTTTATGTCTGAACTATATGTATTGTACTGTACTTTTATTTTTTGCAGCTGACAATGCCCAGTCCGATGCCAGAGTACCTTAATGTACACTACATCTGTGAGTCAGCATCACGACTCCTTTTCCTCTCTATGCACTGGGCTAGGTCCATACCTGCATTTCAAGCTCTTGGGTAAATGGACATAATCTGTTTGAATGGTTTGCTTTTGAATGAATTTAAGCACTGATCTGAACACTTCTCAGCTACTTTGAACTTTTTAGTTATAATATCGTTTAATTTTTAATGAGTACTTTAAAATGTGTGAAGACTATGCAATATTTCCTGCTTTGGAGAATAAAATAGAAGATGGTAGAGGGGAGGGAAACTACAATATCTGATGTTACTGTGGTTACAGAAACTAAAGCCAAATCAAAAGCAAGCATTAATTTGTAGAAATTAAATGCTTGCTTTTGATTCCTTGCTAAAGAATTGATGAGCACCATTTCACAAATAACCTGAAATGGTTTCCCATAGTCTATAATTTCTTTTCGCTTCTTGAAATACTTGTACCATGCTAATATATGCCTGTTACCAAAATGTTTTGCAGTAGAATAATCTTTATTATGAATTGTTATGTATAACATAATTACACATAGGGCAATACCAAGCTGATGTGCAACCTACCTAGAGTTGTTTGATTTTCTGTTGTTTGTAGGCAGGACTGTAATACGAGCCTTGTGCGTGCCTGCTGGAACGAACTGTTCACCTTAGGCCTGGCCCAGTGTGCACAGGTGATGAGTCTGTCCACTATCCTGGGAGCGATTGTCAACCACCTCCAGAACAGCATCCAGGAAGGTATGGTACCAGTCTGCTAACCACACAGGCACCTCTGAATCACATTGTTCACAAGGTGTTTCCCCAGCAGTGACAGAATTGTTCACCAGGAACCAGGTGAAGGTGAAGCTTTCTCTTGCACAATTATCTTTTCCCTGGTCATCTACAGTTTTGTTGCACTGACCTCACAGAGATAGCTGTGGGAGAGAATTGTCCATAGAGGCAAGGTGGTCTTCTGTGCCTGACTGACATTACACAGAAAGGCAGTACATCCTAAAATACTCCTTGGATGTGCTTGCAGAGTTTTCTTCCCATCCAGATGTATGTTTTTTCCTCTTAGAATAATGATATCCTCTTCCAGTCACACCAGACTTTCTCCTTCCAGATCTTTCCTTCTCCTCTTTGCCGTGTGAAAACACAGCGTTTAACAATTATCACAAGTATATTCTTGCAAGTATAATGGTTTTGGATACTACCATAATGCAATAATGATTAATGTATTTTGAAGTGCCCTTGAAGCATTAAGCAACCTAATTTCTGGACACTCTTAACAAGATGTATGTAATTTTATTTTTTAATTCAATGTTGGTCAGTTGATAATGATGGTTATATCTAGAATAGATGAAAATCTGTTTTATTTGCTTTTTTTAAAAAATTCTTTAAAGGCACTTCCAAGCAATAGGATTGATTAGCATGAAAATAATATTCATTTTTAAAAGGAGGAAGAAAACAATACTAGCAGCTTTAAACTCTGCAAACAAAGTATAATACATGAAATCTACTTTAAATTTGAATGTGCATTAAGAGCGATTATAGAACACTATTTGGTACCATTTTAAAATAATTTTTTATGGTGTCAGTATTGTGCACACAGCAAAAATTAGAAAATAGGTTTTTACAGAGGAGAGTAAAACAGATGTATTTTTCTAGAGCTGAAGGATATTAAAATTTTTTTCCATCTATCTGGTTTGTACATTTCATACTTCTACAATCAAATTTTAATCTACTTTATTAGCTTCATCATGATAAAGTAAATTAGACTGAAAATTGATTCTTAAATGGATAGTATGCTTTAATTGCTTTCATAATGAATATAGGGTTTTTTCTTGTTTTGGTTTTGGGTTTTTGTTCATTGGTTGGTTTTTGTTTGTTTTTGTTTGTTGTTTTCTCATTTAGGAGAGCCTGGAAAGTCCCAAAATATGACAGAGTGCTGCTCCTTTCCTGCAGAGAGAGGCAAAACTTGAAAAGATCAGTAGGGAAACCTGCACATTGAATGTTCTGTGCAGAGTTAGGCTTTTACTTGATACCTGTTTCAGAATTCCACCTCCATTCCAGGCAGTGACTTTGGGGAGGAATAAGTGATAGGGCTGTTACAGCTGGTTCCACTTCCATTCTTGTGCATCAAAATTGTAAAAAAATAAATTTTTTCTATAACCTGTACTTGCAGTCATACTGTGTTACCTGAGACCAGCCAAGAAAAGAGGATCATTAGTGTTATTTATCTATTCTGCAAAGTTATCATTTTATGTTGTGTATTATACCTTCAAAATTCAAAACAAAGTAAAGAAATTTCAGAACTTTATCTAGGAACATATTAGTGATGAGGCTACCTAGAAACTCTGGAATTCAAGTTCGCTTTTCCTGAGGTTTTTCTGGACCATGTTTTCCCACTTAACACAGGAATAAAAACATTACATTATGTCTGTCTTCATCCATATTGAGTAACTAAAAATTTGTATCAGAATTAATGATTTAAGAAATGTAGATTATGCTTGCATTCTTATTTCAAAACTGTGCAAAAAACGGTTCTTCCATTCATTCAAACTAATTATTGCAGTTCCAGAAAATAGATCAAATATTAATAAACTATGTCAAAGATTCAGTTTAAGGCACATGAGGTCTAAGCAATCCTATGCACTATTAGCTGTATAGAGAAAAAGAAAATATTGAAATTAAAATTATATTAAATACTAGCATTGGAGATTCTGACTGGAATAAAATTATTCTAATGTGTTTTTCAAGGAAAGGTTTTATCCCTCATGAACTGGCTTACTTCTGAAGTTTGATAATAGTAATTATATATTCAAAAATTGTCTTAATATATTCTCTAATGTTTTTATTCCTTGACTAGTTTGTAGATAGGCAGTCTAATATAAGGATTTCTATTTACCAAAATAGAAATCTCTCCCTTCCTAGTTTAGCAGCTAATACCACTCACTCGTAACATAGCTATAAATAAAATGCATTTTTAAAATTGAAATTTTAAGATAGATTATAAACCCCATATAAGGAATGTGATCTTTCAAATTATAGAAGAGCCTGTGTACGTGTATTTCAGTGAATTTACCCCATCAGATGGGAAAAAGACTATTTACCATAGCTAATGAAAAGGTCACTCCTAAAAGTACCCATAGAGGAGAAAGCAGCACTGTCATTATTGTTCTTGCATTCACTTTTGGAAAAGGTAATTCAATAACGTTTGATTTTAAAATTAGGGTTGCATGTTAGCATTTGCTTTGTGCTTCTGTTTATTCCCAGAATCACTCTAGCCATTTGTAGAAAAATGTACCATCATTTGAGAGTCTCTGCTCAGAACAGTACATCACTGGAAAAAGTTTGGTGTGGCAGATTATGCTGTCCTGGCAAAATTACACAGAAGAGTTAACATTCTGTTTGCTAGCCCTGGGTCTGACTCAACTTTATTAATTCACTTTCATAATAATTCAGGCCATCCTTATATGTTAAGTGGTTTTTAAGACAGCAAAAGACTTGCAAATAACACTTCACTTGGTTTATATAACTTTATTTGTTAATATATTAGAAATGCTTGAGCTCAGATGACATAGTAAGCAATATCTTTTTGTAGATAAACTTTCTGGAGACAGAATAAAGCAAGTCATGGAACACATCTGGAAACTTCAGGAGTTCTGTAACAGCATGGCCAAGCTTGATATTGATGGATATGAATATGCATACCTTAAAGCTATAGTCCTTTTTAGCCCTGGTAAGGAATTTAGTAACCATATCTTTTTAAATAATAAGCCTTAATATGTCAATTTTTTAGCATTTTTAAAATGAGACTAATGTCTTGATATGGGACTTATCTGTTAAGTTGCAGATAGAACGATTGTTTCATAGTTTATCACAATATGTGTTTTAAAATTACTTCAGAGCAACATATCCATATTATTTACAGTTCCAAGCTATCAAGTGTTTCCTGATCCACCCTAAAAAGAATAGATTCTCAAGTTACCTTCAGCTGAGAATCTATGATTAATAAATTATCTGGAATTACTAGCAATATTAGTGAGGTAAATGGTGAGGAGGATTAGAAGAAATGCATTCTCTTAGTGACAGAAAGAAATTTGCTTCAATTTTAGTATTTTTAATATACTTCTAAGAGGAACAGCTGAAATATGAGCTGAAATACCTATTTTATATGAAACTTGCACAAAATCTCAAAAACTGAAAACAGGCTATCTTGTATTTGTTACCAAAAAAAATGACGGCAGACAACATAGTCAAGTGTTCCTGAAATATGAGAGTTTACTCAAAGAAAACACTTGAGATTTTGTGGAATGATTAGGTAAGGACATTAAAGAAATTGGAAGTGGCAGTCTTTTCCACAAAGGTGACCAGTGTTTCTAGGACACACAAAAGTGTCCTTAATCTAAAACTGCTGACAGGCTGAGTAAAAATTAAACTATTCGTTTTGTATATTGTTATTGGTGTGTTTGCTTGGGGTATTTTTGCTTTGATAATTATTTTTCTCTTTGTAATAAAACTTAAGTAGAAGATACTGATGTCCTGAAATGTTCTTTTTGAATTTTTTGGGGGAGATTGTCCCATTAGATTTAGGTTTATTAGGGGTTTTATTCAGGTTGGAAAAGCAAGAAACGATCCAAACTCAAGGTAGCCGTCCTGTTGCAAGGGTCAAGCAGTTTGGACACAAGAGTGAAGGTATTGTGACATAGTAAGATAGGTGATATTTTGTGAGTTTGCTCTTTTTTTTTTTTTTTGATCACATGGCTGTCTGAGGAGCTGAGCCAGCTGGAATTAAAACATGAGACTTGAGAAGATTAAGACATTGATCTATCAGGAAAATGACCCTAGCTACTGCTTAGCCAGCCTAGTTAGAACAAATCACAGAGGCGAACATTTTTACATTTAAACAAGCAAAGTTAAAAACAAATTCTGTGTTGTTGCCTGGTATGCACATACAGACTTAATCTTTGTCCACTTTCTTATGGATACACACAGCTCTAGAGAGAAAAGTGAGCAAACTAATTCTGAAGCCAGGAAGTAAATGTTCACCTGAGTGATTTCCTTTATACAGCTAGCATGTTAAACATCACAATACCAGAGAAATATTGAATTAAATGTGAGAATCTTATAAATACATTTATTTCACAGTGTATAGGGAAACAATCGACATACAGAAATGTTTTGTTTCTTTAGATCACCCTGGTCTGACCAGTTCAACCCAAATAGAAAAATTCCAGGAGAAGGCACAGATGGAATTGCAGGACTATGTACAAAAAACCTATCCAGAAGATACTTATAGGTATTTCTTGTCTAAAGTACCCAAAGTAATGTTGTGGGCTGTAGCTAACAAAAGTACAAAATAATATCATTGATGTTTTTGACATCTGGGGTTTGGGGTTTTTTTTTTGACTGTTGATGAAAAAGAACTAAAACCTAATTCATAAAAGCAAGCAGGTTTGTTTAAAGATACAAAGAATAGAAACAAGAATAGCTGTCTAACGTCCTCCATGTAAATTAAATTTATTAGTTCTTCCTTGGTTTTTGAGGGGTTTTTTTTGAGACTCTCATAGTCATGTTTAGAAAAGTAAACAGACTTAATTTTTTAGAAGTTTGGGGGATAACTACTTCAACGAACTAATTCACACTGCTTCTCTTTTCAAGTTAATATTTTAAAGTCTCTGACAACTAAAAGGTGATTATCATCCTTGAAATGTTTGTAAAGTTTCATATGCAGAAAAAATGTTAAAACTGTCAGTTACAGCCCTTGGAAAAACAAGGATTACATATAGCAGGGAACAATAACCATTTCTCGAACTTCTGTTTATAAGAAATTCCCACATCCTGCTTATTTTATTCGTTGCCTTTTTTTGTTTGTTTGTTTGTTTTTTAATTTCCAAGGACTTCTTAAATTATATAGCTTTTGTTTTTTTCATCTCTCAACAAATCTGTTTGTTATGTGTTAGAAGCAATTACAGTATTTTCTAACAATCTTCATCAAAACTCAAAATTCATCAACGCAATGATTCTCTGCACTATTGGGGAAATTCTCACCTCTGTCTAGCAAGATATACTAGAACACGTGAACATGTTCTTTTTTACTGAACAGGTGAAAGGTATCCTCATGTAAAGGAGCAATCCCATACACTTAAGCACTGTCTGAGGCTGGGGTAACGAAAAAGAAGAAAAAAACCTGTCTGAAAAAGACAGCTTCTCCCATCTCTGTTTTCTGCACTGATCTTACAGAATTAACACTGGTGCAATGAAAATAGGATTCTCTGCCTCAGAAATATCCTCAAATCCCACATTTTCCATGTACAATTGAATCCTTCTGGTTTGATTAGTGAGAGCTGAATATTTACCATAAAACTAAATATAAAATTTGTTCCATACACTTACTTCTCATAACAGTGTCTCAGGGAAGAAAATCAAGAGTTACATTCCCCAAGCAGTGTCCTGTATTTTAACTAATAGTGTCTGTATCTGCACAGTCACCCATAGACAAGTTTAGAGAACAAATCTGATTATTTCTGAGCAATTGAGTGCTGGCACAAATTGAGATAGGAAGCAAGTGTTACAATTTTCACAAAAACAACACATAGGTAGAATCTTTTTGCCTTGAAGTTTACAAGATATGGTATATTAGCAGAATGGACCTTAGGTATTTTCTCCATAAATATTCAAGCATTTTCCAGAGCACCTGTGGTCAAGGCTACCTGAGGTTTGCTATTACATGGTTCTGGTTCAGAAAATTTATTTGGTTTGGCATTTGTAATGTACATCTGCCATATGAACGACAGCAAAATGCTTTCATCACTGTCCTAAATTTCATATGCATAGGAAGTCTAGCATTTCAGTACAATCACTTCATTATACTGGATATCTATTAACATCTTGGTAAATAAAACACATGGGCAATTTGGCAATATTTATGCTTAACAGTACTTTCCCCCAAATTCCTTCTGTCATTAGAAGCAGGCTCTCTTCTGTTTATATACATCCAGCCCTCTTCCTGCTATATGATTTAGCATGAAGTTGCTAGGCAACCGAGGACTATGTTGTTTATGGCTGAAATTTTAATTAAGCATTGCACTCTTAAGATGCCACAAATGTTCACACCAATCAGTATGAATATTATTAGTCTCGGCATTGTTCATCCAGAGCTGGGAATTCCAAAAGCAGGCCAAGGAAATCGTGTGTTTGTACATACACGTTCTGCCCACAGAGGGCATTAACAGGGCCCGTTCATTGGAAAACTACAAAGTTACTTGGCTTTCATTTGGCTTGCAGGATAGAACAGTAACCCTTCTTTTCGTGGTAGCCAATTAGCTTTAATTGCCTCTTTACGCCTATTCATGAATTATGGTAATAATGAAGGCAGATCTAGCTCTTTAGCCATAGAGTGTCTTAAACTGGTCTTATATGTGTTTATAATCCACTGAACTTCTTTTTCAGGCTAGCCCGGATCCTAGTTCGCTTGCCAGCACTCAGGCTGATGAGCTCTAGCATCACCGAGGAACTGTTTTTCACAGGTCTCATTGGAAATGTTCCCATTGACAGCATAATCCCCTATATTCTCAAAATGGAAACAGCAGAATATAATGGTCAAATAACTGGCACGTCTGCATAGAGGGAACAACGTCATTTGAGGGATGGAAGTAATTTTCACAAAAACCATATCATTACAAAGTTAAAAGAGTAGTGGTTTTGGTATGTGCAGATAATTCCAACTTGTTATCAGTTTCCTGACAGATTTGTCTTTTTCTGATGTTGACAAAATTTAAAGCAACTATTAAAAGACCTGCTATAGGACCTTTCCTGCCACAAGGAATGTATTTGATGCCTTTCATTTAAAAGGCCATAGGTTACTGAACATACTTTTCACATGCTTTGTATTTAGAAACTATCAGTGGTTAAAAAGAGTTTTATAATATCAGAGTAGTAATAAAATTACCTTAAAAAGAACAGTATGTATATATTTTAAAATATCCTTGGAATGAATGTCTAGCAAATGCCAGGGTATAATACTAGCACTTTGTAATCACTTCTTGTCAGAGCAACAGTGTCATCAACATCCTGCTTATGAGTATGGAAAATGAAAAAATGCATATGTCCTTAATCAAAATGCTAGTGATTTTTGTAAAAATGTACAATACTAAAGGAGACAATCATTTAATTTACAAAAAGTCACTTTATGTTATGCATGAAATATTAATGTGGATTCTTAAATCAGATACCCACATTATATGAAACTATATCTGTTAAATTAGTGCAGTTGTAATACACAGTACAGTGCAGTCATGGTTATTATTATGTACTACAGGAGTTCCCCACATTAGAGAAAAAAAGTGTTCATCACAATAATGATTAAATATGCAGGTTCCTTAAAGAGTCTGTTCAGACAAACACAATCATGACAAATGCTATTCTAAGAAGAAGCCTTTTGACTTCAAGGCAAATCAGTCATTAACTGGAAGAGCATTAATTTTCAAATAGAGCTGTGTGATGCTCTTTGAGTATGCTCTTTGTATGCTCCAACTTTACTCCTTTTCTCTGTATTCTGAACACCCTCATAATGTAGCCACAGGGTGGAGTTTAAGACCTGAAATGTATAAAACTTCTGGTTGTCAGCAAGAATTTATTACAAAGCTCTCTCACTCTATTTCTCCCTTCCTCACTGAGCACTCCCAGTTTTCCAGTGCTCTCAACTTTCCTGTCACTCAGTTTGAAAACAGAATATAGTTAGGATTTACTGTCACTCATGTACAATTGCAGTTGATGAGTGATACACCATGGAGATATAAAATGAACTACTTTTTAATTGTCTCAAGTGATGAGCCATCAACACGTTTGCTAGTAGTACTGGCCATTAGCTGCTAGCATAGATTTCATTTTAGTATAATTTATTATTATGGCTGTTCAGTATTTTAAAATCAAAGATTTTTTTTAAAGTCATAGCAATGAATACCTTCATTTGATCCTGGTTGATTAGATGCATTAATTATTTTAATTATTTGTGTGTTAGAGGCGTTCTTACTTTCATAGTTTTATGTGACAAAACTTATCTAATGATAACTTCAGCACTTTGGTTTTTCTTCTGTTACTGTTATTTATTTAGAAACATCAACTAGGATGGTCTTTGTAACTTTTCAGTCTAAATTGTAGCCAAAAGACCTTAAGCAGCTTTAGATGAGGTTTCTAAAGTAAACAAAAAGACTTCGTATACTTCATGCTTGTTAGGAGGCTGACATTTGTAGCACTTACTGTGACACAAAAGACTATTTAATTTTAGCTTCTGTATGCATTAAAGTCTTCTACAGTTACTATTTTTAGCACATCCAGAATCTTTTCTCTGAAGGGTATTATAGAGTCCAGTGTCCATGCAGACATTTGTAATACTGCACTTGTATCTCTCTCAGCTTTTGCTATAGCAAATGAAATTGTCATATTGTTCATGCAATGGAAAGTTGCTTTCTACATGTGAAGTCAGCTGAACTTGAGCTTTTAGTATCAACCATTTGATTGTAGTGTAACTGCTGTGAGATTGTGTCAGCACTTCTGCTGCACAGCCCTTATGTTAAATAAGGGTATGCAACTTAAAAATTAATGGTGATATTAACATCAGAATCAGTAGTTACCTTGGAAAGAGTAGTGACTGCTTTTAACATTTAAAATTTTATTGGGTTATGTCACTGTTCTACAAGCAGAATGCATTGAACTATTGTGATTTTTTTTTAATTGCCAAAAGGATTATGGAACTTAATTTCTTTAAGTATTTCATAAAAACAATTTAGCAGATAAGAAAGTGTTTCAATGGTAAATTAAATATCCCTTAGCACAAAAACTAGCCTTTGGAGTATTTGGTTTTAAATCTCAATACACACCACCTAGCTTTCTCTTGACAAACATCATTTCAATTTCCAATTTTTCAAGTGAAAGGGCCCAATTGTTTTGTGTGAAAATTTGTAATTTTTATTACTCTGATCATAACAATTCAGGAAAGAAGATAAAGGCATTATAGTCTTTTGGGAACAAAGAGATGACATGAAATAAAATGTAAAATGTATGCCTTACATTACATACGTAAATTGAAATAATGAATATCATGCAGCTCTGTTTACAAATAAACTACACTCCCCACAAATGCAAGGCCACATCATGATATCCTTGCTCAAACCCTGGTAGTTACATACTCTGCAAATGGTCATTAAAGAGTTTATTAGGGATAAAATATTAATTTGTGTAAATTGAGTAACAACCATGCAATCCAAAGTTATGCATGCATTTAATAAATGAAATGAAGCAGTTCCATCCTAAAGATTTGGATATTACCACCTAAAAGCTATAAAGCCCCTCTCTGTGTAGCATCATTCGTGTGATTTGCTGGCTTGCAGAGCTCAGAACCAGGCTCCTTCGTTCTGATGCCATTAATAAAAAATACTCTCTCTAACTATACAGTATTTTGATTCCAAGACTAACATTTTGGATTCTAGAAATCTGAACATGGATGGGTGCCTGGGCTATTTCTTCCCCAGGGAAAGGGTTTGGTGCTTTCCCTCTTAGAACTTCACAAAGTTCCTGTTGGCCGGTTTTACCAGCCTGTGCCAATCCCTGTCAGTGGGAGCAGGACCCTGCACACAGTGCAGCTTTGCACTGTCTCTGCACAAAGTAGTGCAACACCAACATAGTTCTTGGAATTTCTGAGGTTTGTTCCAGCCCTCCTGCAGTGACTGGAAGATGGTAACAGGCTAATCTTAGTAGATTTACTGTTAAATTTATTTCGTTTCTTTTCTCCTTCGAAAGTGCAAACTTTCCCTTATGAGTATGGGACAGGAGAGTTGTTTATTATTGTAACAATTTGTCTCGGTTTGAAAGACAGGTATTTGCTAAGGAAAGGCGAGAGCCCCTTTCCTGAGATGCAGAGAGCAACCCCCTCCCTTTTAATTATTTTAGTTTCAAATCAGAGGCCCTCAGGCAGGAGATGTGGGGATAGGAATAACAGTTCTTTACTGATATCCAACAAGGCAGTCGGTCGTGGTGCTCAGCAGAGTGTCCGGAGGTAGCAGGGTGAGCTGGGAGAGCAGCAGAGCGATGTCCAAAGGCAGGGAGCGTGGATCTCAGCGCTGGGATGGCAGGGGAGATGCCAGAGCAGAGCCCAGGCTGTCCTCCCACTCCACGAGCCAAGCAAGAGAGAGCCCAGCTCCAGACCCCCCCGTCCCACTTTTCCTTTCCCCCCATCCACCCACCCCCCTGCGAGAGAACATGATCATTCCTAAGGTGTAGCCACAACTACTTAGCATAACAATGGGAGAAATTCCACAGAAAGAAAAGGGAACAATTCAACCCCCAACACAATTATTGAAGAACTAATTTTTATTATGAGTATTAAATATTGAAATAGCTTGTTTTCATAAAGGTGAAATTTAAATGCCAAACTTGTTTTTACAGAACTTGCAGTCAAAATATCACAGTCACAAAGTGATTCTAAGAAAAGTTCATCTCACTGGAACTCAGTGCCAAAATTTATTCTTTTCAGAATTTCTGAGGGTCTATTCCTGCTGCTCTTGAAATGAAAATACTTTAACTTGGCAGAAATAGAGTAATAAATTATCTGATTAGATTTATCTGAACCTGAGCAAACGTGTATACTAGTCACCATTCAGACAAATGTTAGAATTCTGTGCTGACTGAGACTGGGACATGATAATGAAGCAATGCAGGGAGTGATAATGAGGTAGTAATGTCCACTGTGCTTCATTTATTTTTCAACTCTTATGCAAAGGAACTGGATTTTAATCTTGTAGATAAAAAGCATTTGGGACTAGCTTTGTCGTAATTATTTTAATTGCACTTGTGACAAATGCAGGAAGGTATACACTTCCCTTTATTTACTTACATTGGACTATAGAGTCAGAACTAAGATCATGTGCAAAAGTAACCTCGCTCTGCCTATTTACATTACTTATAAATTAGCTGCAATGCTTTTGGTGTCTGTGGAGTTACTCTGGAATGAAACTGGTAGAAGAGGAAAAAATTATTTCCAAGGAGAGATCCTTCTAAGAAGTCTCCTTACCAGACTTAGCTGCCTTAAAATGTTAGATTATTAAGAAGGCTTAATTTTCACAGCACTCTGGGGCAAGAAACTATTGTTGCTCTCCACTGATTAGCTGGTGTCATTTGCCAGGTCTCCTTTCACCATCTTCTGAAGCCCTTGGTTCCCCAGCCAGATGCCTCTGGCTCCAGGTGTGTGTGCAGAATCCAGCGGCCCTGCATGGCCATTGCAGTTCCCTTTGGCAAAGGGCACGTTCTGAGGCTGCATTAGAGAAACCAAGTCAGGACTGAAGTTCCCAGGTGAAATCAGTTTCCTAACTCCTGTTTCTCCTTTGGCAGAGACTGTAAAACACTTGTGTGTTTTTTTTAATTGTTCTGTATAGTACACAGGACTCACAGATTCCTGAATTATTTCATTCAGGATACTGCAGGTGTCAGTAGATTTTCCTGCCCATTAAAGTTCAGACAGTAGTTCAGGTTCTTTCCTGATTACCTGCTGTTTAATTAGTAAAAGGCAATTAAAAAAAAATAGCACCAAATAGCACAACTAGCAAAGGGTTTCAGGAGTACAGTTTAACCAGGAAGACAGAACTGGAAGTGAATGGGCTGAGGGTACTGCCCAAACAGTGACAAAGCAGCGTCCTGCACTAAGAGCACCAGCCAGGGCCCTGTTTGAATCAGGTGGAGTGAGCAGTAGAACTGGCAGGTCAGTCAGACACACAGATGTACCAGCACATGTCTACTGCATGATACCATCCCGAAAAGAACAAAAATGTTCATTTTCTATTTGTGATCCGTTTCTGGTTACTCTTAACAGTCCAAAACCAGGGAAGGTTGGGGTTTTTTTCCTCCTAGTCTTGTCCATAAGAGGAAAAGCAGAAATGCCAGCATACACAGGCAAATTCCCACCTGTTCCCAGGATTTGCCACACTGGCCATACAGACATAGAAGAGCTTTTGCAGTAGTTAGCTCTGGTGATAAGCATGGGCCAGCTGTGACAGCAGCACACAACAACTGCAGTCCTAACACCTTCAAATATCCAGGAGGGATCAGCCAAATGAGGGCATGGTCACCCTAGGGAGGAGAGTGAGAGGCAGAGGAAGGACAAATTGCCAGTATCTGCTGGATCTTGAATGACTTGGAAATTAGTTTAGAGACAGTTTTATATTAAAAATTACCAAGAGGGGATGGCAAAGCAGAGACAATGAAAACATTTACTTTGTGCACCTTTTAATTCTAAAGTCATTTAATTCTGAGTCATTTTAACAGTAAATACTCCTGAATTAAGTTCAGGTTTATTGTTTCATGCCATTAACCCTTCTTGTTAGATAATGCTACAACCCTACTTCAGCTGCAATCAGTGTTATCAACATATAGGAAATTATTTGTGAAAAAAAAAATAGAACATTATTTATACTGGGGTTACAAGTTAAAGTAAAACTCTTTGTAAAGTTTAGATGCTCTAAGTTTAAACATCTAAAGTATAGATTTTTTTTTATTGTAAAGTCCTGCTAAGTTCATCACAGGTAACACTGTTGTAATATTTCATAATCCCCACAACCTGTTCAATCCTCTCAGTTAAATGAATAAGCAATGGCTTATTATTGTTAAATTCCTGCCTGTCTTCTTTCTTTTTAAAGGATTTGATAGAGTTGTACACGTCTATTTTGTGCCTCCCACCATTGTGCATTTCTGCATGTTCAGTTCTAGAATTCACTTGAGCAGCTGATGAATATGTACATAGCTGTATGTATGTGTGTATGAATGTATATGTTTATACCTCTCCATCTAAATATATTCTGTACAGTGTATAGAAAATATGTAGTGTATGTATATATGTACAGATATGGAGCCATTATTCATCCATTCTATGTGCTAAAGTTTTTTATTAATTTGCTAATCCAGAGCTTCCTAATTTGGTGAATCCTCACAAATTTCAGAGCTTTGCACGTTTTTTCTAAACCAGTCTGAATTCACTGTTTGCTGTTCAGAACTGGCAAATATATTCCATGAATTTTCTGTCTTTTACATTATTCTCTTTACCTTTTCTCATTTGACCTATGGAAGTCTGCCAGTCAATATTTAATTGAGCATATAATGCCTGTTAAAAGTAATGAATAAATAACTATAGCCATAGAGATACTCTCCTGTTCATACTCATTCTCTTCCAGCCTCCTGAGATACTTTTATAGAGTTTATTTTTTATGAAGCTTGGTAAGAGACTGGGGTTTTTTTGTTTTTAAGTCTTCATCTGTGGTGAATTGAAAGTAAACCAAGCTGTCATTTATCACTGAAGTGCAGCACACAGAACAAGAGGTAACGGATGGTGTTTAATAAATCAATATTCATATTGTCATGGTGATCACATGGAACCAACCTGTGAGTTAGAGACTGTGTGCTCTGTTCAGTGAAACAGCAGCTCAGGTACAATGGTAATTAAATAGTAGGGACATTGCAGGTAGTTTATTTCTTAGCAAGCATCAAAACATCTTCAGGATTTTCACGATGCATTTCAATTATATATTCACTTTCCAAAGATTTTCTCTTTATTTTTCAGCCTAAACTGAACACAGCTAGTTGTTTGATTTAGTTGTCAGACTAATGTCCCTTTCCACATTCTGTCCTTTCCTGGGTCTGGAATCTGTGCAGCTCCTGCCTTGCCTGTGGCAGTCCCACTGTCCATGTGGGACCTGGGCACACAGGAAGTGAGATGTGGAGTAAGACGATTTCTTATTCATAATGAGGACTCAAACATGTACATTATCCAAGTATAAACGGTCTTGGTTTTTTCCCCTTTTGATGAAGTTAAAAAGGAAGCCTTCCATAAAATAAATCTGTTAACTGTGGTTTTTTATAAAAGCATTTCACAGACCATGAAGGGCAGTAGTTCAGCAAGTCTTGTTTCTGTCATTAAAAAAGTGAAGTAGGATTTTCTGGGCATTTATTTCCAACTTTTGTGCTCACTGCTGCAAAGACTTGTGTATATTTAATCAGATAATAAGACACCAATCAAAATAATGTGAACTTCATGCATGCTTAAAGTGAAGCATAAGTCTGAGGAAAGTTTGGAAAGTTTGCTATGGAAAATGCTGAGGATGTTCTCTTTCTTGGTCTATTGGTTAGTGAGCATTTGTAAGCTTTTATTTCAAATACAAGAATAAACTTGTAGCATTTCAAAACCTTATTTCTTTGATTTTCAGCTGGAAAAATATTTAAATTAATGTCAGGAATTTCTGTGACAGATGGTCCTTCCTTGGTGTCTGGAGAATTGGTGCTGTTTGAACGCTTGCTTTCCTCTTTAAAGGTGGATAGAAACCTGAAAGTCTGTTAAAGTCACTGTACTGCAGGAACAGTTTTAAATTTAGGAAGCCAATTGGTGCATTACTCAAGATTGAATCTGTTTAAAAATTCAACTGTGAATTCAGAAAAAAAGGGCAAAGTTCAGTGAAACTGAAGGTGTTACATCCACATTTTAATTGTTTGTATTCTGAAGGACAAATGTGCTCAAATTTAATGACAATAAAGACTCTGCAATAATACAACACAGCTCCTTTTATGATATTTTCATGATTGTGGGTTAAAGTAGGACTGAATAATTTCCAAACGAAAAGCACAGTCTTTAAGAAGAAAGCGTTTTACTTACAAACTATATATGTTAAGTTTTTAATATATGGAATCAAGATCAAATGTTGGAATATTTTTAATAATTAACCTGTAGTCTGAAATGCACTGGAAGCCAGTGTTCATAGTTTCCTAACTCAAAACTGCACACTGTTGTATCTGTATTGGCATACTAGAGAGTACTGAGCTCCTAGAAAAACAGCAAATTTTTTCAATTCCTTGGGATATTTTCTGGAAGTCTCT